ACAAATACCACAGCTTGTTAATCTTTTCCTCAGTTGATGGGCATTTAGGTTGATTCTGCATCTTGGCAATTGTAAATTGAGCTGTGATTAACATTCTAGTGTAGTTATCTTTATGATAAAATGATTTTTTTTCTGCATCAATTTTGAAGCTTAGTTTAGCAGGATATAGAATTCTTGGCTGAAAACTATTTTGTTCAATATGGATAAAAGTAGCTGATCATTCTCCTCTTGTTTGGAAAGTTTCAACTGAGAAGTCCACTGTCATCCTGATGCGTATGACCTTTTAGATCAATTTGCACTTATTCCTCCTGCACAAAGTCCTCTTGACTTTGACAGCCTCATGACCATATGTCTTTGAGGTGATCTATTTGTGTTGAGATGACTGGGACTTTAATATCCCTCTAAAAGGAGTGTTTTGTGATTTTCAGTGATACTCAGAAAGTTTTCATTTATGATAACCTCCAGTATGTTTTTCATTCCTTTCGAACATTCTTCTTTCCCTTCAGGAATAGCTATAATTTATATGTTTGAACACTTCGTGAAGTCCTATAATTCTTTGGGCAAATATTCTGCTTTCTCTCTCTCCTTTTCTGCTCCTCTAACTGCCTGGGTTAGTTCAAGAGCTTTATCTTCTAGCTCTGAGATTCTTTCTTCTCCATGGTCTAATCTGTTGTTAATGCCTTCTTCTGCATTTTTCAGTTTCCTGATTGCTTCAGTTCTTTAAGCTCTGCCATATCCTTTCTATATTCTTCATATCTTTCATCCATTTTTTGGTTATGTTTTTCCAGTTTCTCATCAATTCCATTTATTGTTTTTGCCATCCATATTTTAAATTCCCTTTCTGTCATTTTTGTTAATTTTTTATAAGTGAAATGCTGTGCAGTTATTACCTCATGATCCCTTGGCGGGGGATGTTGCTCTATCCTGAGTTTTCATCTGACCAGAATTTTTCTGTTAGTTCCTTCTCATGTGTATTTTCTTCTTATTCATTTCTTTCCCCTGGTTTTTTCTTCTGTCTTCTTTGCTTTAAATTACTGTGTGTCAGAGAGTAGGTGTTGAAGTGGCCTTTTGGTATAAAGAGCAAGACAGGAGAAAGAGAAGTAAAAGATAAAGGCAGGTGGGGGGAAGAAGGGGTGGAGGAAGGAAAGAATTGAAGAAAGTGAGAGATAGAGGGCAGTAAGAGAGAAAGAGTGACAGGAGACATGGTGGTGTTCGGTGGGCTGCTTTTACCACACCCACGGCACTAGGACTTTGTTGGGGGGGGGGCATCGAGCTTGATGGGTCCCTCAAAGTTAAGAGATCTTTCCTAGCCTGGGAAAAAGCAAGATCCCTACCTCTGCCAAATACAGAAATAAATCAGCGGTATATTGCTGTAGGGATTTACCAATACCTTCTTTCTAAAGGCCAAAGGTAGAAAGATAAACCCCAAACCATAAACTCATGGTATCCTTGAGCCAGACCAATGCCATGACCCCCTAGCCCTCAGAGAAGAGAAAAAAATTAAAAAATAGATAAAAATTAAAAATATAATTTTGTAAGATAAAGAAGAAAAGGATATCTTATGTGTTGTATGAGACATTTATGTGGGAAAAATGAGAAAAGTTGAAAAATCTTTACCAAAAGAGAGAAAAGGAAGAGAAATAAAAAAGGAAGAATAAAAGTGGTTTAAAACTCCTAACAAAAATGAAGGAGACCTTACTATTGAAAAAAGTAGAAATAAAAAAATAAAAATATAACCAACAGCTAAACAATAAATAGCAACAAGAATAAAGAAGAAAAATACAAAAAAACTAAGGAATAAAAAAGGAAAAGAAGGAAAAATGTAAAACTCTCTGTGTGTGTTGCAATATATTGCCTGTACGCCAGGTGGCACTGTGGTGTTAGGAGATGGAGGAAACACACTAGATTTTCTGTGTGTGATTGGGGTCGGGAGCCACGCTCTAGTTGCAAAGGTGGCCAGATCTTGTCTTCCTGACTTCCTTGTTCTCAATCTGGGCCTATTTGCTTCATCAACATTCAGATCTCATATGACTAGGGTCTTAGAGCTCTCACCAGACTTCTCTTGAGGCCTGTCAGATAGTGTCCCTTAACAACAAAGTGTCCCTCCTGGGCAGTGCACTGGCACTCAGCTCACCACAATGATGGCCACTTGAGCTCAGCAGGCACACCAGAGCCAGCAGAGCACTAGGATCCTGTGGACTGTTCTTGCCCTGGGTGGTCTTCCCAAAATGGTAAGCCCTGCCAGCAGCAAAGCCTATAGGAGTGCCTGACATTCAACGCTGCCTGCCCGATCCTGTTCGAGTCTACTCTCTGCTCCAGTGAGCAGCCCAGTGCAAAATCCAAATACTGTAGAACAGCCCTTTCCTGTCTGCAGCCCTCCACAGGACAGTGGGACAGCCAGCTGGCTTCTGGCTTCTGCCAGTACCAAGCACCTATCCTCTGTGTAGGTTTTCCTCAGTTCCAGACCTCTTTGTTGGCTCCTGAAGTCTTTTGCCGCATCAGTATGCCCCCAGAGTGATGTTTCTGTGCAGATTCTCCCTGTCACAGGTGGCTGAAGGCCACTTTCCCCTGTTTTGCCCCAGTAGCTGTCAAGGAGATGTCTCTAGTCTGCCATCTTGCTCTGCTCCCCCACACCCTGTTTTACTTTACTTTTTTACTTTGCTTTATGTTATATTTTATTGAGACCAAGTCTTACTCTGTTGCCCTGGGTGGAGTGCCATATCATCATACTTACAGCAACCTCAAACTCCTAGATTCAAGTGATCCTATTGCCTTAAACTCCCTAGTCACTGGGACTATAGGTATGTACCACCAGGCCTGGCTAGTTTTTTCTAATTTTAGTATAGATGGGTCTCCATCTTGCTCAGGCTAGTCTTGAACTCCTGACCTCCAGCAATCCACCTGTGTTGGCCTCCCAGCGTGCTAGGATTACTGGTGTGAGCCACTGCACTTGGCCCCCTTTCAGTCTTTTCATAACTATTTGCAGCCAGTTCTCGCCTATCTTTAGTCCGTTCTCTAGCCAGCAGCCAGAGTGTTCATGTATAGTTTTAATCTGATCTTGCTATTCTTCTGCTAAAAACCTTCACTGGTGCATAGGATAAATCAAATCCTTCTGTGGCCAGGAGACCCTGTTGCTGGACCTGGGTCTGCTCCCCTTCTTTCCGGTGTGCCACCCTCTGACCGGCTCATAGGACCAGTGAAGGGTTGATTCTGGCTCCTCCAGAGCCAACTTTCTCCTCTCTTGTGTGCCTTTTCAGCTCAGTGGATGACTCTGAACTTAAAAAAAAAACCTTTTTTTTAGAGACTTCATTTTTAAGAGCAGTTTTAGGTCCACGGCAAAGTTAAGAGGAAGATGCAGAGACTTTCGCTACTCCCCTGCCCTACACATGCATACTGTCACCATTTTTACCACTCGGCTCTTCTTGTTAAAATTGGTGAACTTAATTTGACACGCCATTATCACCCTAATCTACAGTTTGCAGGTACCAGGGCTTATTTGGGGTTGTACAGTCTATAGATTTGGACACATACATAACGATATGTATCATTGTATCACACAGGGTGTTTTCATTGCCCTAAAAATCCTCGGTGCTTTGCCTATTCATTGCTTTCCCTCTAATCTGTAGCAATGAATGGTCTTTCCCATCTCCGTACATTTTCATTGAGTAACGTACATTTAAGGTTCTTACTATGTGTTTTCATGGCTCAAAAGCTCATTTCTTTTAGTGCTGAATATCCTTAATTGTCAAGATATATGAGAGTTTATTAATCCATTTACCTACTCAATGACATGTTCGTTGCTTCTGAGTTTTTGCAGTTATAAATAAAACTGCTATAAATACCCGTGTGTAGGTTTGTGTGTGGACAGAAGTTTTCAGCTCCTCTGGGTAAGCAATGGGTCCTATAGTAAGAGACTTTTTTTTTAGACCAACCGTCTTCCAAAGTGTCTGTAACAATTTCATTCCCAGCAGCAACAAAGAAGAGTTCCTACTGCTCCATATCCTCATCAATAGTTGTTATTGTCAGTGTTTTAGATTTTGGGCTATTCTAATAGGTGTGATATACGGTATCTCATTTATTTTGCATTTTCCTCATGATATAGGATGGGGGCTTCTTTCCTTAGGCTTATTTGCTACTTGTAGGTTCATATGCATACACTGCATGACCCAGCAATTGCACTTCTGGGTATATAGTCCAATGAATTGAAAGGATGGACTTGAACAGATAACTTGTACATTTGTGTTCGTGGCAGCGTTACTTGTAATAAACAAAAGGAAAGCAGCCCAAGTGTTTATGGATGTATGAATGGATAAATAAGACATGTCATACGGTATACACACAGTGGAATGTTAGCCTTAAAAAGGAGGAAATTCTGACACATGCTCCTACATGAATGAAGCTGGAATATATTATGCTGAGTGAAATAAGCTGGTCATAGAAAGACAAACAGTGTCTAATCCCACTCACGTGTGATACCTACAGTAGTGCAATTCATACAAATAGAAAGTAGAATGGTGGTTGGCAGGGGCTGAGGAGAGGCGGCAATGGAGAGTTATTATTTAATGGGTATCGAGTTTCATTTCTGCAAGATGAAGAAAGTTCTGGAGTTTCAGTTTTGCAAGATGGTGGTGATGGCTGCACACAATGTGAATGTACCTAGTGCCGCTGAACTACACGCTTAAAAATGGTTAAGATTGTAAAATTTATATTATATGTATTTTACC